GGAGCTGTAACCCTGCAGAAGCCAACTACAGCTCATACGAAGGGGAAGGGCTCGCGGCAGTATGGGCCATCACCCACTTCCGGGTGTATCTACAGGGGAGGCTGTTCGTGTTAGTCACGCATCACCAGCCGCTGACTTGGCTTATGACCAACCAGACCCTGACAAGCCGGAACACCCGATGGGCCATGCGGCTGCAGGAATATGAGTTTACTATACGACACCGGGCTGGGAAGACGTTGCAGCACGTGGACGGGCTCTCGCGCAACCCGCCACCCTCGAGCCCTCCTGAGGCATGTCTGGTGGCATTGGCAAGAGAAATCGACGGGGAAGGAGCCAAGCGGAAAGCTCAGAAGGGAGCGGAAGACATTTGGGAAGATGAAGAGACCTTGCGGTGGATCCAAGGAAAGACTTCGGAAGCAGAACCCGCGAGCGAGAGGGCCAGAGCCAGGGGACTGCATTATCGGTGGTACCAGGACCAACTTCAGAAAAATACTAAGGAAGGATGGAAGTTGGTCCCGAGGCGAGAGGAGCGGGAAGGGATAATCGCGAGGGTGCATCGGCAGCTTGGGCACTACGGCAGCCTACGCACGAGCCAGTTGATAGAGACGGGCTGGTGGTGGGCCGGGATGAGAGGAGACATCAAAGAGTGGGTGGGCTCTTGCGAGCTATGCAGCAGGAACAAAGCGGAGCTAGAGAGAGGGAGGGAAGAGCAGCACTCGCTGCCTATCAGAGGCCTAGGGTTCCGGTGGTCACTAGACTTGGCTGGAGAAATGCCGCTTAGTCGAAGGGGGAAGCGATTCATTCTCATCATGATCGAGCACGGCAGTAAGTGGGTGGAGGTTAAGGCGTTGCCTAGCAAGAGCTCGGCCCAGATCGCTGAGGCATTTGAGGATCAAGTGTTGGCTCGCTTCGGGGCATGTGGAGAAGTATTAAAATCAGGGCACGGAGTTCTTGGGAGAATTCGAGAAGCTACTGAAAGCCGGCGGTATTACTCACCGGCGGACATCACGGTATCACCCGCAGAGCGACGGGCTCACTGAGCGATTTTTGCAGACTGTGAAGAGAGGGTTGAGAGCTTACGGGGAGCGATTTAAGAGGGACTGGGACGCGCGGCTCCCGTGGGTGGTCGCAGGCTACCGCTTCAGTAAGCAGGCGGCGTTAAAGGACTTCTCGCCGTACAACCTGCTGCTGGGGAGAGAGCCTATCTTGCCCATAGACGCGCCACGGGTACTGACAGATGTGGTCATGGTGGGCTCAGAAGACGCCTGGGTGGGGCTGGCCGATGCAAGGGCAAGATACCTACAGGAGATGCTGCCAGCGGCGTTAGAGAACCTGCAAGTGGCACAGCTCAGAGATGCACAGCGCTACAAACGAAGGAGAGAAGGACAGGCTGAGCTGAAGGGTGCACAGCTGGGGGTGGGGGAAGAAGTATATGTCAAGCAGGCCAGGCAAGACATGCTAGATATCGGGCTCAGCACTTAGAGGTGGAAGGTGAAAGAGGTCAAGGATTCGGGAGTAGTGGTGCTAGTGGGAGAAAAGGGGCAAGAGAAGAGGGACCATCGGACGAATGTGGCGAGGGCCCGGCCCCAGCGAGTACCCCCAGGCCCAGAAAAGAGGGGGGAGCAGGCAACGGAGCAGCCTTTCAACCAAGTAGTCCATCGGCGATACATGCCAGAGCAAGAGCAAGCGCCAAGGAGGGGGCAAGTGGGAAAGGCAGGGGCATCAAAACAAGGCATGAAGAGGGAGCTGAGGAACTTGATGGGGTGAGGAAGAAGACGGGAGGTACAGAGAAGGGAGGGACAGAGCAGGAGGAGCGGCCAAGAGACAAAGTTTCCAACAGCTGTCTGTCATGCATTTAATTGAAGAATAGTGCGTAGGACACAGCAATATAAACGCATGATAGGGTACTGTACTGAGTAGGATTAAAGCGAGGTAGGCCAGAGGCGAATAGCGCCAGAGCGGGAAACTAAGCCGAACTAGCGAAACCAAACCAACCGTTGCAGAGCAACGGTAACCAAGTGCACATACTTAGGCAAGCAACACGAGAAGCATCAGTTGCTTGCTTGTATGTTTCCTCTATTAGCAAAGAGTTACCTAAGACACTACTCGTACTGCGCCAAGGGGAGGAACCAATTCCAGCAAGCCTTTTAAGGGTTTTCACTCAGTGCCATCCGGCAGCCAGCCGAGTTAGGTAGGCCTCGAGAGAGTCAATGTGCTAGGATTACACAAGTGGGAAAGGCAGGGGCATCAAACCAAGGCATGAAGAGGGAGCTGAGGAACTTGATGGGGTGAGGAAGAAGACGGGAGGTACAGAGAAGGGAGGGACAGAGCAGGAGGAGCGGCCAAGAGACAAAGTTTCCGACAGTTGTTGAGATTGAAGCGAGCTACGACCTTGTTGGTGAGTGGGTCGATGATGTCACAGTAGTCAGTGTCTGGAGGAAAGATGACAAGCACCCCTGCCTTCTGAAGTTCTTTTAAAGCCACCAGATTGTGGCGTAGTGAAGGCACGGACAGGCCAGTGATTGTGCCGGATGGGAAAGCAGGGCATATGACTGTGGACGACCCCTTGGCAATAATGGTGAAGCTTGAATCGGCTCCTAGGAGAGGAATGGGTGTTGAGTAGGGTTGGAAGGAGTGTGTCTCCTTGAGCACTGTATGTGTCGCCCCACTGTCGAGTGTGAATTCTATGTGGTGCCTGTGGTGAGCCGATGTGCTGCGAGGTTGCTTCATTAATCATAACAGTGCCACGGAACAGCAATTTGATGGTTATGGAGGCGAGGGCCATGGTGAGTAGCTCTTGAGTCTCACGCTAAATGTCTCTCTTAAGTCACCGATAGGAACTTCGGGTTTAGGGTTTACGAAGGAGAACTTGAAGAACTCGAGGTTTAGGGTTTACGAAAGAGAATTTTGAGGTTTAGGATTTTCGAAGGAGAAATTGAAGGAAACGCCGATTTCAGAACTGTCGACTAACCGCTAACCCTGGTCCCCCCCGGCCCTGTCCCTCAGCTTCGAGGCTTTGCTGCTACACGGCTGCTCGGCTACACCTGTTCAGCTGCCGTAGCGGGGCGACGGGCGACAGCCCGAAGATGACGCCGCAGGGCGACGGGCGTCAGCCCGATGTGAAGTTGCAGGGTGATGGGCGGCAGCACGAAGGTGACGCTGCAGGGTGACGAGCGACAGCCCGACGTGAAGTGATGCTGCAGGGCGACGGGCGGCAGCCCGACGTGAAGTGCCGCTGCAGGGCGACGGGCGGAGGGTTTAAAGTTACGCCGAAGCGGGAAGAACAATGGGACAGAACAGTGGTGATTCGGGGCGAGTGGCGAGAAAACGCTAGTGATGGTTACCTTTAGCGAAGTGCAGAAACCAATGCACCATGACTGTGAGAAAGGTAGCGCAAGAGAAAGTCTGCCCACGGAAGATGTCGCGAATCACGGCGACGAGGACGGCGCGAGAGAAATTCCGATCGGGAAGATTAGGTCGATGACGATCCTTAACGTCGAACGATGAATATTGAAGGCGGCTTCGCCTAAGAGTGCGGGAGATGATTCCGCAAAGGTAAGAGGATCAAGATCCGCGTGTGGGGTTGAAGAGCTTTGATACCATGTGAGAACTTGAGCTTAGAATCCATGCATTAATAGTGAGCTTGAAGCTCTCTAAGTACATCCAGATAACCAAGGAAAGGATGGTGAAGGGGATTGGGGGCAATCTCTAAGGATTGGGGGTAATCCCAAGGCAATCTCCAATTGGTGGGTTGGAGATTGCTTGGAGATCACATTTGGGTTTGGTTGGGATGTCGTGTACACCCAACCAAACATAAAACTACACTAGATATAAAAAGTGCAAGTACAAAATGTGAGATTGAGGGCTAGAATTAACAGTCATGTCATGTGATGTCATGCCATGTCATGTGATGTCATGTCATGTGATGTCATGCCATGTCATGTGATATCATGCCTTGTCATGTGATGTCATGCCATGTCATGTGATGTCATGCCGTGTCATGTGATGTCATGTCATGCGATGCCATGCCATGTCATGTGATGTCTAGGGATGAGCAAAGGGCGAACACGAACATGTTCGTCTTCGCCCCTTGTCGAACACCCTCTTTTGCCGAACCGAACAGTGTTCGGTTCGGCGAACAGTTAAGGAAAAAACAGGTGTTCGCTGTTCGCCTGTGGAGGCGTGTTCGGGCGAACCTCGAACACTGTTCGTGTTCGTCGCGGGCAAATTTCAGCAGCGGCCCGAACACGAACGTGTTCGGGCGAACATCGAACACTGTTCGGCGAACGATTTGAGCTAAAAAACAAAACCTGTTCGGTTCGCCTCGAACACGTTCGAGGCGAACCGAACAGGTGTTCGCCACCTTGCTCATCCCTAGTGATGTCTATGGGTCGTTTGGCAGCACAGCTGCCGGGGTCAGGGCTCTAGTGGTGAGCTGTTTGACTGCCAACTTGCGCCTGTTCAACTGCCAACCTGCACCTGTTTGTCTGCCAGCCTGCACCTGTTTGACTGCCAACCTGCAGGTCTGTGACTATCAAACTGCAGCTGTGAACATGGCAAGCCAAGCCAAGCCGGAGTCACATACTGCACCTGCTTGCTTATGGCCCGTGGTTTGTGTAAACTAGGGATTGCCTAGCTGAGGAATGTGAGGGACCTTCTTATGAGATGAGTTTTGAGGCGCCTCAAAACCCCTCCCTAGGTATCGCGCAGCTGAGAAAAAACGAAACAGGAATTCTCTTCTGACGGCGTTCTTCTCTCATGGCCTTCTTCTCTCATGGCCTTTTTCTCTCATAGCCTTTTCCTCTCATGGCCTTTTTCTCTCATGGCCTTCTTCTCCTTAGATGCGCGAGGAACCCTTTCTCATGTGCGACCTTAGCTGGCTGCCATGGTGAAACGCATGGGAGGGAGAAGCAATCCAGCGTGGCTTGCCATGTATTCAATGCAACGATGGTTTTGAGGTGCCTCTGGAATTGTCTAAAGCATGGCTATCTGCCACTCACAGGTCTTCTAAGCGGGTGAGGCGAAGCAGTGTGGCTGGAAGGGACCCTGTGAGCTTGGTGCTTGAAAGTTGCCTGGATGGGGGCAAGTTGTGTGTAGGGCGGCGAGGGAGGCAAATGAGCTTTGAGACGCAGGGCCATGAACCCGGGAGGCACGCATGGCATGGGAGTGGCTGGCTCGCATGGGGGTGGTTGGCATGGCATGGGGGTGGTTGGCATGGCATGGGGGTGGTTGGCATGGCATGGGGGTGGTTGGCATGGCATGGGGGTGGTTGGCATGGCATGGGGTTGGTTGGCATGGCATGAGGTTGGTTGGCATGGCATGGGGTTGGTTGGCATGGCATGGGGTTGGTTGACATGGCATGGGGTTGGTTGGCATGGCGTGGGGTTGGTTGGCATGGCATGGGGTTGGTTGGCATGGCATGGGGTTGGTTGGCATGGCATGGGGTTGGTTGGCATGGCATGGGGTTGGTTGGCATGGCATGGGGTTGGTTGGCATGCATGGGGTTGGAGTTGAGGTTTTACGGCAGAGGTGTGTGAGGCAAGAAAGGAATCAGGCGAGGTTAGATATGCATGCTGGAGATATGCCAGCCATGGGTGGAGATAGGCCAGCCATGGGTGGAGATAGGGCAGCCATGGGTGGAGATAGGCCAGCCATGGGTGGAGATAGGCCAGCCATGGGTGGAGATAGGGCAGACATGGGTGGAGATAGGCCAGCCATGGGTGGAGATAGGGCAGCCATGGGTGGAGATAGGCCAGCCATGGGTGGAGATAGGCCAGCCATGGGTGGAGATAGGGCAGACATGGGTGTAGATAGGCCAGCCATGGGTGGAGATAGGCCAGCCATGGGTGGAGATAGGCCAGACATGGGTGTAGATAGGCCAGCCATGGGTGGAGATAGGCCAGACATGGGTGTAGATAGGCCAGCCATGGGTGGAGATAGGCCAGACATGGGTGTAGATAGGCCAGCCATGGGTGGAGATAGGCCAGACATGGGTGTAGATAGGCCAGCCATGGGTGGAGATAGGGCAGCCATGGGTGGAGATAGGCCAGCCATGGGTGGAGATAGGCCAGACATGGGTGTAGATAGGCCAGCCATGGGTGGAGATAGGCCAGACATGGGTGTAGATAGGCCAGCCATGGGTGGAGATAGGCCAGACATGGGTGTAGATAGGCCAGCCATGGGTGGAGATAGGCCAGACATGGGTGTAGATAGGCCAGCCATGGGTGGAGATAGGCCAGCCATGGGTGTAGATAGGCCAGCCATGGGTGGAGATAGGCCAGCCATGGGTGGAGATAGGCCAGACATGGCTGGAGATAGGCCAGCCATGGGTGGAGATAGGCCAGACATGGGTGGAGATAGGCCAGCCATGGGTGGATAGAAAGCATAGTTGCATGGATCGACGCATCACCTTGCGCACCAGCATGGACTGGCATGGCATGGGCTTGCATTGCATGGCATGGCATGGCATGGCCTCACATCACATGGCATGGCCTCACATCACATGGCATGGCCTCACATCACATGGCATGGCCTCACATCACATGGCCTGGCCTCACATCACATGGCCTGGCCTCACATCACATGGCGCAGCATGGCACCGCATGTGGCAGCGTACAGTTCGGTGAGTGTGGTGAGGTTCCCAATGGCATCTGGAATGGGTCCCTCCAACTGCTTGCCACTCACTTCCCTACACGGGGTCATGCGGGGCATGGGGGGTGGGGGGCATGGGGAACATGGGGGGCATGAGGGGCATGGGGTGGGGGGCATGGGGGGGCATAGGGGACATGGGGGACATGGGGGGGCATGATGGGCATGGGGTACATGGGGGGCATGATGGGCATGGGGGGCATGGTCCAGCAGCAGACATGGTCCACCAAGCATGGACCAGCATGTGTGGAGGAGCATGCGTGGGCCATGGATATTCAGATTCACTAGCCCAGATGCCCACACCAGACCATCCAGCTTCAGCTCATGCATTCAACTTTCCATCCAAAAAAGGGGGAAGGCAGATGGAGGGGGAGGGACAGGGAGAGAGGGGGCGGGGAACGAGAGGGCGGGGAGAGAGGGGGCGGGAAGAGAGGGGGCGGGGAGAGAGGGAACGGAGAGAGAGGGGACGGGAAGAGAGACAGCGGGGAGGGGAAGGGGGCGGGGGAAGGTGTGCAGGGCGCACAGGGAGACGATGAAGCCTGTCGCATTGCAGCGCACGCCCTCCACCTGCGCGCAGTCCCCCCCCTTGCTCCATCCGCGCAGCTGCGCCTGCCAGTGCCTCTGACACTCCGCCAGCACCGCCGCTGCGGGGAACAGGGGGAGGGGAAGGAGGCGGATTGGGATGAGCAGACTGATAGGGAGAGCAGGACTGGGAGGCGAAAAGGAGGAGAAGAAGGCGAGGAGGAGAGGCGGATGCGGATGAGACGATAAATAGACAAGCGGCGGAGAGGGATGGACGGGGATGTACACGGTTCTAGAACAGGACAGCCGTTGGGAGGAATGATGGGAGGGGAAAGTGTGGACTCCGTGAGACTTTGGAAGGCAGGATGGGTTCAGCGTGACCCGGGCAAGCTGGAGAGATGCAACGGCGCATGGGGAAAGGTGAGAGACCCGTGAAGAGCTTCTTCATGCGGGCGTAGCTTAATGTACGGTATATTCTCGACAGTTGCCGTAAATGTACGGGTAATGGTAGTGCGGTAACGATCACAAGCGACAGCGCCGCGACGGACCTTGCGAGGGGTTGAGCGTTACGACAGCCGAGGACGGCGAGGCGAGGGAGAGTATGAGTGATACGAGAAGAACGGCGAGGCGACGCGATCTTGCCATGGTGAATGCATCACAGCCCTTCCGTTTCCTTCTGTGGTAATTCAGAACTGAAATCAGCGAGTACTGTAGCACGCCTTCTTTGTTGGCTCGTCACACTCTGATTGTACCTGCCTGGACTTGAAGTCAAGCAAGTCCGCGTTAAAGAAAATCCGACATAGGAAAATATGCGAATTAACAAACACGGTGCTCAATAACGGAAACATTAACCCGATTAATGTGGTTTTCATTAGTTCGCTAAGTTGTTTCACGGGTTTGGTCACTTGTAACGAAATTCCAAATTTCAGTTTGAACACGAAACTAGAAATAGCATGAAAGACCGTAAGGCGAGCAGCACATAGGTAATTACAGAACAGAGAAGAGGAGAAAATATTGGACGACTTGGTAGGCCATGGGAGAAGAGAGGGCGGCGGAACACGAGAAAGAGGAAGACGGAGGAGCCTAGAGTGCTTACAGTGAAGCGGAGACATGGGGCGAGTAGGAGAGGGATGTCAGAACATATAGCTTACTTATTTGTGTAGGCTATAGTGGGGTATCCCATAGGGGGTACAACCCAATTAGGGTTTCCTATTTGTACTCACTTCGTTCATACTCATTTCATTCTCGTTCAATTCTTCTCATGGAATCACAGCAGGTCCCCTCCTAGGGACTGTTCCTAGGGCCCACCGAAGCGCGCCCCGAGGCGCGCGTTCTTTTTTTTTTTTAGCGACCCTGCGTGTCGCCCCTACCGTCGCGCTCCCGCCGCTCCCTCCTCTTACGGCCGCCCGCCCTAGTGCCCTGACGGCCGCCCGCCCTAGCGCCCTGACGGCCGCCCGCCCTAGCGCCCGAGCGCCAACCGCCCTAGCGCCCTGACGGCCGCCCGCCCTAGCGCCCGAGCGCCAACCGCCCTAGCGCCCTGACGGCCGCCCGCCCTAGCGCCCTGACGGCCGCCCGCCCCAGCGCCCGAGCGCCGCCCGCCCTAGCGCCCGAGCGCCGCCCGCCCTAGCGCCCGAGCGCCGCCCGCCCTAGCGCCCGAGCGCCGCCCGCCCTAGAGCCCTGACGGCCGCCCGCCCTAGCGCCCGAGCGCCGCTCGCCCTAGCGCCCTGACGGCCGCCCGCCCTAGCGCCCGTGCGCCACTCGCCCTAGCGCCCTGACGGCCGCCCGCCCTAGCGCCCGAATGCAGCCCGCCCTAGCGCCCTGACGGCCGCCCGCCCTAGCGCCCTGACGGCCGGCCGCCCGCCCTAGCGCCCGAGCGCCGACCGCCCTTTCGCCCTTACGGCCGCCCGCCCGAACGCCTGAGCGCCGCCCGTCGTCGCCCCAACGCCCTAGCGCCCGACGCCCGCGAGCCGCCCGTCGCAGCCGCCCGTGAGCTCCCTGAGCCGCCCGCGCCGCCGTCCCTGAGCCACCTGTGCAGCCGCCCGCGAGCCGCCAGCGAGCCGCCCGTCGCGACACCAGCGCCGCACGAGCCGCCCGTACAGCCGAGCAGCCCGAGCCGCCCGAGCCGCCCGCGCCGCCCCAGCAACCCGAGCCGCCCGAGCCGCCCGAGCCGCCCGAGCCGCCCGAGCCGCCCGAGCCGCCCGAGCCGCCCGCGCCGCCCCAGCCGCCCGAGCCGCCCGAGCCGCCCGAGCCGCCCGAGCCGCCCGCGCCGCCCCAGCAACCCGAGCCGCCCGAGCCGTGCCGCTGTTCCTGAGCTGTGTTCCTCTGCTGCTGACCTACCCGACTCTCCCAGCCCGGTGAGACTTTCAGCTGCTGCCATGGCCACCCCCAATGTTCTTACTTTTGACGCTGAGGGGAGGGCCATTGACTTTGCCGTCTGGATTGAAGACCTGCAGCTGTACTTACTGTGTGATGCGATAGATGAGGTCTCTCTCTTTGACTTTGTCTCTGGCGCTGTCCCTGCCCCACCTGCTGATGCTGACTCTGCCGTTCGCTCCAAGTGGGCGACCCGCGATGCTGCTGCACGTCTTGCTGTGCGTCGCCACCTCCCTTCCTCTGAGCGTGCCCACTTTAGTCAGTGCAAGACCGCTCAGGCCTTGTACGACGCTGTAGTTGCACGCTACTCCTCCCCTTCCTCCGCTACCCTTAGCCGCCTCATGCTACCGTTTCTCTTCCCTGACCTCGCCTCCTTTCCCACTGTTGCTGACCTCGTTACCCACCTCCGTGCTAGTGACACCCGCTACCGCGCTGCCCTTCCTGCTGAGTTCCGCACTGCGAACCCTCCTCCCATGTACATCACTCTCTACTTTCTCGTCACCCGTCTCCCTGAGTCCCTTCGTGTCGTTAGGGACCAGTTTCTCTCTGTCTGTCCCACCACTCTCACTGTCGACCTCCTTGAGGAGTCCCTGCTAGCGGCTGAGAAGAGTATTGTCGCTGTAGGGGCCTCTCGGGGTGACCCTCGCACCCCCATCTTTGAGGGGTGTGGTCCTTCCCCCCTGCTGCCCTCTGTCGCCTCTGCCGCTGCGGCCGACCTCACTGGTTTTGAGTCGGTCGGCGCGGCGTCTGCCCCCAGCGGCAGACGCCGCTCTGGCAAGGGCAAGGGGGGCAAGGGAGCGGGTGGAGCTAGAGGGGGCGGTGGAGGAGGCGGTGGGGGTGGCGGGGGGAGTGGGGGTGGCGGTGGGGGTGGTGGCGGGAGTGGAGGTACTGGTGGCGGCGGTGGAGGCGGAGGTGGCGGCGGCGGTGGTAGCGGAGGAGGCGGTGGGAGCGGTGGGAGCGACGGTCCTGGTGGGGGAGGTGGCGGTGGAGACGGGGGTGGCGGTGGAGGCGGGGGTGGCGGTGGAGGCGGGGGTCGGAGTGGCTCGTCCCAGCGGAGCAGCTCTGGGGGTGGTCAGCGCCAGCAGCAGCAGCAGCAGCAGCCGCAGCAGCAGCCACAGCAGCAGCAGCGCTCTCGCACCGTCCCCGCCCCTCAGCAGCTCCGTGAGTGGTACTTGCAGCGTCAGCGTGGTGGTGCGCTTGGTCCCTGCCCCTACGTTCTTCGCACCGGTGACCGTGCAGGGGAGAGGTGTGGAGGCGCCCACACAGCCCGCCGCTGCTTTGGCCGCCTGACCGACGCCTGGCGTCAGCAGTTTCCGGAGGCCGCTGAGATCCCCCGCTGGGGAGAGCTGTCTAGGGCTGGTGTAGCTATTTATGATCTTGATTTTGATGCTATTCTCGCTGCTATGTATGCTGTGACTGGTAGTGATGAGGATGACTGTTACCGGTGTTTCCCGCCCGACCCGGGCATTGGTACTGCCGCGTCAGGTACTAGTGAGGCTGCTGCTCTAGGTGCCAGTGCGTCTGTGCTCTCAGGTGCTGGTGAGTCTGCCCTCTCAGGTACTGTGTCGGCTTCGGCCTCTCACACCTTCACCCTTGATTCTGGAGCGTCTCGCTCCTTCTTTAGGGACCGCACCACTCTCACGCCGCTGAGTCGGCCGGTTGCGGTGTCCCTGGCTGACCCCTCTGGGGGGCCTGTCCTGTCTCGCTTCTCCACTGTCCTCCCGTGTCCGGCGGCCCCCTCTGGCACCCTGACTGGTCTCTACCTCCCCTCGTTCTCGACGAACTTGGTGAGTGGTGCTGACCTCCAGGATGCGGGTGTCCACCAGTTCACCCCTGCTCGTCAGCGGGTGACTCACTGCACGGAGGCTAGCACAGGTCGCCACCTGGCTACGTTTACACGTCGGCCAGGGTCGAGCCTGTACACACTGACCACTGCTTCTCCTCCAGGTGCTGAGTCTGGTAGGGTCCCTTCGTCTGGTCAGGTGTTTGCTGCAGCGTCCAGGTCTGGTCCTGAGTCTGCCCCCTGCTCGTGTCGTCGTCTGTCTCACGAGACCCTCCTCTGGCACCACCGCCTTGGCCACCCCTCTCTGCTTCGGCTCAGAGGCATGGCCTCGCGAGTCCTTGTGTCTGGTCTTCCCCGGTCTCTCCCTCCCCTTCCTTCGGGCCCTGGCCCTACCTGTGTCCCCTGTGTCGAGGGGCGCCAGCGTGCTGCCCCTCACTCCTCCCAGTTTCCTCCGACAGAGGCCCCGTTGCAGACGCTTCACATGGACGTGTGGGGCCCAGCCCGCGTCCGTGGACAGGGTCAGGAGCGCTACTTCCTGCTGGTGGTTGACGACTACTCGCGTTACACCACAGTCTTCCCCTTGCGCAGCAAGGGTGAGGTCACTGAGGTGTTGATCGACTGGATCCGCGCAGCTCGTCTCCAGCTTCGGAGGAGCTTTGGCTCTGACTTCCCTGTTTTGCGTCTGCACTCGGACAGAGGCGGAGAGTTCTCCTCTGGCCTCCTGAGTGCCTACTGTCGTGCGCGAGGCATCCGTCAGACCTTCACGCTTCCGGACTCACCACAGCAGAATGGGATTGCTGAGCACCGCATTGGCATGGTCATGGACGTCGCTCGTACGTCCATGATGCATGCGGCTGCTCCCCATTTTCTGTGGCCGTTTGCAGTCAGGTACGCTGCGCACCAGATCAACCTCCACCCCAGGGTCTCTCGACCGGAGACCTCCCCAGCCCTGCTGTGGACCGAGAAGGTTGGCGATGCGTCGGCGTTCCGGGTCTGGGGATCTCGGGCGTTTGTTCGCGACCTGTCTGCGGACAAGCTGTCCCCTCGTGCTTCTCCCTGCGTCTTCCTGGGGTTCCCCCCCGACGCCCCTGGGTGGCAGTTTTACCACCCCACCTCTCGACGTGTTCTGTCCTCCCAGGACGTCACGTTCGACGAGTCGGTACCCTACTACCGCCTCTTCCCCTACCGCACTCCGTCCCTCCCCCCACCCCCGCTCTTCTTGGTACCAGGTCCCCCCCCGGTAGTCCCCCTCCCCCCTCAGGGTCCTGCCCCTTCAGGTGTGTCCCAGGTAGACGCGGTCGAGCCTGTCGAGGTCACTGGTGACTCTGGTGCTGCTGCGGGAGCTGAGCCTGGGGGTGCGGAGTCTGGGGGTGCTGAGCCTGGGGGTGCTGTGCCTGGGGGTGCTGAGCCTGGAGGTGCCGAGCCTGGGGGTGCTGTGCCTGGGGGTGCCGAGCCTGGGGGTGCTGTGCCTGGGGGTGCGGAGTCTGGG